GAAATTGTTCAACATGACAGAAAGTCACTTAACTCCCAGATTCCTTTACATGAGCAGAGCTGGATTAATTTGACCCAAATTTTACATAATAGCTTTCCCAATTTCTAAAAAACATCAACTTTTCGCTTACCTTAAAACTTCTGCTTTAACTGCCTATCCCTACCTCAAAAAGAAACTTCCCCAAGGCCACCAATCCTGACACAGTGAAAGCAAACTCCCGCCGCACTCAGCAGCGCCATCACTTCTGAGCCCGGGATCAAACGGGGGGACGCCTCCGGAGGAGGCTGCAGCCCAGCTGTGAGGGATGAAGCTGCTGCAGCGGAGCCGGCTTAGGAGGAACTCTCGGCGCAGTCCCGGCATCTGAAGTAACGTAAACAGTCGTGCTCCCTCCCATCCAGCCTGTTAGCAGCCTCACGGCTGAGGGAGACCACACACTCGGACCACACAGCGCCAGCTCAACTCGCACGCAACCTCCACCAGCTGTCATGGGGTGGGGGAGGGGCGGGGGGAGGGGCGGGGCGGGAGAGGGAGGGGGGAGGGGAGAGGGGAGGGGAGACGGGCGGGGCGGGGCGGGGGCCGTCCACCCAGTGTCACTCCGGAGGGAGAGGGGAGGGGAGGGAGAGGGAGGGGGGAGGGGGGAGGGGAGGGGAGACGGGCGGGGCGGGAGGGGGCCGTCCACCCAGTGTCACTCCGGAGGGAGAGGGGAGGGGAGGGAGAGGGAGGGGGGAGGGGGGAGGGGAGGGGAGACGGGCGGGGCGGGAGGGGGCCGTCCACCCAGTGTCACTCCGGAGGGAGAGGGGAGGGGAGGGAGAGGGAGGGGGGAGGGGGGAGGGGAGGGAGACGGGCGGGGCGGGGGGGGGGGGGGGCCGTCCACCCAGTGTCACTCCGGAGGGAGAGGGGAGGGGAGGGAGAGGGAGGGGGGAGGGGGGAGGGGAGGGAGACGGGCGGGGCGGGGGGGGGCCGTCCACCCAGTGTCACTCCGGAGGGAGAGGGGAGGGGAGACGGGCAGGGGGCGGGGGCGGCGCAGGGCCGCCGAGAAGTGAGGTTTCCTGAGAAAACAAGCCGCCAGGCCCGGTGTGGCCTTGACCTGCACTCCCCTAACCAATTTAGTAGCTGATGAAGGATTAACAAAGCATCCGTTTAACATCAATTAACCTCCTGTCCATCACAGGTCAAAAGAGAAAATTACCATTATACAAACCTTTCATTAAGATAAAGACAGATAAGTTTTCTTATAATCTATAATAAATACTTAAATAAGGGCACATTCTTTTAGATTTATATTACCGTTGATTTTAACCTGCCTGCCTCTTTTCCTTTAACGAAGCACACAACACGAATGTGAAGTGTTTCTGCAACAGAGGTCAGAAAATTTTAATTCTATACTTTTTCCGTATTTCACTGTGGCACAATCTTTAATTTTACAAAAGACTTACTGGCAGAATAAAAGACAGTAAATGGTTTTTTACATAACTTCAGAACAAGTAGTGACATTAAAGGAGAAAAAGCAGAAAATGTAAGCCCAAAAATAGGATTAAAAGGATTTAAATCAATTTAAAAGGATTAAATCATTTTTTTTAACTATTTGGTATGGAAGAATTTTTATTTGAATAGCAGATAAGAAATGTGAACAAAACAAGGGAGGTGATCTTTCCCAGTCAGGTACTGAAACAGAGAAGGCGGCAGGGCACAAACTTTAGAAGAGAGGCACAGCTGAGGACGCATCATAAACATCCGTTCCCATCACTTCATGGCAAAGAGATGGGGAAAAAAATGGAAACAGGGGCAAATTTTATTTTCATGGATTCCAAAATCACTGCAAACAGTGACTGCACCCATGAAATTAAAAGATGCCTGATCCTTGGAAGAAAAACTATGAAAAACCTAGACAGTGCTTTAAAAAGCAGAGACATCACTTTGCGGACAAAAGTCCACATAGTGAAAGCTATGGTTTTTCCAGTAGTCCTATATGGATGTGAGAATTGGACCATGAAGAAGGCTGAGTGCCAAAGAACTGATGCTTTTGAACTGTGGAGTTGGAGAAGACTCTTTAAGAGGAGAGCAAGGAGATCAAACCGGTCAATTGTAAAGGAAATAAACCTGAATATTCATTGGAAGGACTGATGCTGAAGCTCCAGTAATTTGGCCACCCGATGCGAAGAGCCAACTCATTGGAAAAGACCCTAATGCTTGAAAAGATTGAGGGCAGGAGGAGAAGGGGACGACAGAGGATGAGATGGTTGGATGCTATCAACAACTCAATGTTACATAAGTTTGAGCAAACTCTGGGAGATAGTGAAGGACAGGGAGGGCTGGCATGCTGGAGTCCATGGGGTCACGAAGAGTTGGACACAACTGAGCGACTGAACAACAACAATACAACAAAAGTTAACATCACACACCTGCTGCTAAATCACAGCACTTTACAAGTGGATATGGTCCTAAACAATTCACAGAAGCTTACAGATGAAACTAAAGGCCAACCTTGCCAGAAACAGACCATTGACAAGAGGCAGAGGGCCAGTTCTTCAGGGTTGCAGGACTCCTGAGAGCTACCCTGCGGCAGGCACACCCCAGACTGGGCCGAGGACCTACACTGTGCAGCTTACATTCGAACTACGATCCAGGCTTCCTGAGACCCACTGTCCACCATCCTTTCCATACTGACACCAAGCTGTAAGGGGGAAAGAGCACGCAGAAGGAACCACTAACACCAAAACCAAAACTTAATGCAAACTGTATAGTCCACCCCAGTCTTAAACGCCACTAACAGTATTAAAGGATGTTAATGAAGCTTTTGAACAAACCCAGTACAATTTTCCAGGAAAAAAAAAAAACAACAAACAGCCTTATTAAGTCAGTTCCAAACTCATCTGCCTGAACTCCAGGCATTCCATAATCTAAAATGCACTCACATCTCAGCCCTGGGCCTCTGTTCCTAGTAAGCCAGCCAGACATTCACATGCCTTCTCTCCAGAGGGCCACATCCTCCCCCATTAAGGTCTGATTTCCATGAAGCCTTCTCAGTTCCTCCAACCCCAAAACATCCTCTCCCCTCTCCAAATTCCTATTATATTTACACTGAGTATTGCATCTTAGTTCTTGGCTATTTAATGGAGAAGACAAAAATATCCCCTTATGAAAACAGACCACTTTTATTGCTAACATGTGTCAGGCATATGTTAAAATTGGGAGACACAAAAATGACTAACACTAATCCCTGTCTGGCAAGAGCTTCTTCTTTTGATAGACGTGTAAATAGCTACAACCCCTAAGATAACACAGGACAGGACAAGTGCTAAGTGGTTACAGGATCCACTGAGTTGGAAACTTTCAAAGCAGGAAACTCTGAGATGATCTAGTTTTCTATATTCTTGGGAACAAGGAAACTGAGGCCCAAAAAGACTGCTGAACAGCTGAGCCCAGCTACACAGCAGGGTCGGCAGCACACGGACCAGGAGGTGGAGCTTCAACCCCTGCTTTCGAAACTGAAGTCTAAGGACGCCTGCAGGTGTGTCCACAGCTCCAACGTGCGTACTTTCTCCACAGTCACTGTAAGTCTGTGTGTCGGTGTCAATAATTCTTTTAAGCTAACATAACAGTGTGGAAAATCACGTGACTGAAACTCAATACTTCCACCATGCAGTCTCACCAGGCGCTCCAGGGGACCCAGGAACACCTTCCTGGGAATCTGAGAACAAGCAAGGCCCCAGCACACTGCTCACCAGAGTTTTCAGCATTATTTCCCATTCCAGTCAATCTAAAATCCTCTCTGCTTAAAATTGGCCTAAAACTCACCCACTCAGCAAATGTGTAAGCTCCACTCTGGAGGTGCTCTCCACTCTGTGGCAGCTGCTGATCTAGGAATCCTGGCTAGAAGAGATGAGTAAACTAGCGAAGGGGTGGAAAGTAATGCAGACACTAACTGTACAAGCAGCACTTCCTATGTTGCCTAAGGGTGCCAGGCCTGACACTAGAAATTGTTCTATATGTATTAAAGGAGTACTAAAGGACTGCCTGTGCAAAAATGTTAAGTACTAATTTCATTTCCCACTAGGTTTATCCATAACAGGCTCTCAAATTTTCGTGGAATGAATGAAAATTTAACTTGTCAGGTTAATAATCATCTTTTAGAGAGATAATTTTCAAAATGATATTCGGCTTAGGAAATTAAATACCTGAAAAGAAGAAAATATCATTTTCTGAAACTTCCAAGCATTGTTCCAAGCATGTTACACTGGGGGATTCTCTGTTTAAAACCACTAAATTTTTACTTAACCAGAGAGAAGAGAAGATTTCAGTACTAAGCACAGGTCACCCTCTTTCTATTGCCTCCCTTTGGGTCAGCAACTTGTAACACAGAGGTTCCTTAGGAAGCTTTCTGCTTCCAATTCCAGTGCCCTGACACCAAGCCTGCCTAGAAAATAATCAAAATATTATTATGCATTGGAAAAGGAATCCACACAGCCTCAGCTAGAATTAGCTTTTCAAAAGAGTACACCCAAATGAACTCGTTAAGATTTTTAAAATACTTAAAAAATGTTTTCCTTATAAATTTACTCAGATTTTTTAAAAAAAAGACACGTTTCCTCATATGTATTAGTAGGAGCAGTCTTCACCGATATAAGCAGAGCTTACTTCCATTCAAAGACAGCTGTTTCTTAGGAGAGAACACAAAGAGTTTGAGCCCCAGTGCCTCACTGCCGGCTGTCACTGGCAGATAAACACTGAGTAATTACACGATTTCAGGCTACTTACACAAGCACTCTGAGCTTCCGTCTCCCCAACTGTAAAACGCGGACGATACCTTCAACCCAGAGAAACACTGACGGGCACCGAATCAGTCTCAGTATAGATCTCCAGTGACGTAACCGAAGGGAACAAGCAAAACCTGCCTCTGGGATTCGTTCTTCACCGATAAATACTCAAACTTTACAGAGTAACAGGTAAGCAGGTGCGCCGAGGGGCAGGTGAGGCCAACTGCAACCCATCCCCGAGCGTCAGCCCGCTCCAGGGGCGCTAGCAGAGAGGAGGGGCCGGACTCCGGGACCCCCGCAGCTGCCCAGGAAGCTGGGCCGGGGCTCCAGGACCCTCTCGGTCCCCGGGTCAGCCGGGCTGGGGCTCCGGGACGCCCGCAGCTGCCCAGAAAGCTGGGCCGGGGCTCCAGGACCCTCTCGGTTCCCTGGAAGGCGGGGCTGGGGCTCCAGGACGCCCGCAGCTGCACCCCAACAGTCCGGGCTGCAGTGACACGGGCCTGACGGCAGTTGCCGGCCCTCTCGCCCGCCGCCCGCGCCCCCGGCGGCCTCTCCAAGGCCTTGGCCCGCACACCTACCTGCAGGACGGCACGGACAGGGCCCCGCGCCGCGGCGGCCGGCGGCCTGCACCCTCACTTCCGCCGTCGGAGCGCCGAGGGTGTCGATCGGCCGCGCGACCGAGCGTCGAGCGCCCGATGACCGGGCCTCAGGGGCGGGGCGGGGGCAAGAGTCGGGAGACGGGTGGGAGCCGAGGACCCGGCCGCGACCCCGGTCCTTCAGAAGCCGCGGGCTGACCTGTGTCTGGGCAGCAACGACACGCAGGCCGCGAGGCCGCGGTACTAGCGGCCAGGAGCCCTAAGAGCGGACACTCGGGCTCGGCCGCCGGCTCCGGACACGGAACGCAGACCCCCGTGGGCCTGGCCAGAGGAAACCGGCTGCCTGACAGGGAGGGGCGACCGCGGGTCGGCAGGAAGTGACGCGCCGCCCCGGACGCGGCGGGACCGGAAGGGAGCGCGCTCTTCCGTCCGCAGCGCTCTGCGCGCGTCCAGGGCTTAGGTTTGGCGTGGCCGGGCAGGGGCTGCGCTGCTGCCTGTCCCGCTCTTCTCTCCAGGCGGCTGTGTGGTCACTCCAGCGGGTGCCCCAGTAGACGGGCCCGGGTGTCGCCCCGGGCTTTGGGGGTGTGGCGGTGCTGACCGTGGTAGAACGGCGCCCTGCGTCCGCCCCGCGGTGCAGCCGGGGGACCGGGCCTCCCTTCGCAGAGGTTAGGCAGCAGCTGGTGGCTGGCGGCTTCCTAAGTGCCGGACACGGGCCCGGGTTCGGGTTAGTCTCCTGTGACGGCAGGGCTCGAGCAGGCGCTGAGCGTCGCTCACGGTGTCTTCTATATCATCCCGAGAGCCCCGGGTGGCACCTGGGACAGGCCTTTCAGAGGGAAAGCGCTGTGACAGAGGGGCCGGCATCGCAGACGCACTGCCCTGCCCCGCATCGCGCACCCAGAAGCCGCCATCCCGCTGGGATGGTAGAACGGCCTCAACGGCGCGGCTGTGGCTCCGTCCGGGAACAGCGCTGTGGTGCAGTGCTGTGTGGCCGCAAGGGCTCCTGTGGACCTCATACCACACTGGTGCGGTGTCTCCAGTAGAGCCCTGGCTTCCGCGGCAGGGAAGGATGCTCTGCCAGGGCGTAAGAGGGTCCCCTCAATCCTAAGACCTCTCCTCGGGGCTCCTCATACAGGCGACAGGGAAATGACCCTTCTTATTAGGGGAAAATCGGGGCAGGTAGGGATACATCTGGACTCAAGGCGCTGCCTGGGCATCTTTTCTGTGCCTGGTGATTCCAGCAAATGGGTAAAGCAGCACTCCTGGCCTGGCAGGCCTGGCAGCCAGGAGCTCAGACCCCCACAAGGACAAAGGTCTGGTCTCATCGTCAAGCAAGTGTCCTAGACCGGCTGGTGGAGAGGGAGGGAAATCCAGAATGAGTGGTAAAGGAGGAAGGTAAATCTATGCCCCAGGACCAGCTGTGGCAGGAGCCCAGAGCTCCACCTGTCAGCACTCCTGGTGTGGGTGTGACATCAGTGTGAGGAACGGATGTCAGGGCCACCTGAGTGCAACCGGGCAGCAGCACTCACCAGGGCCCATGCACACCCCTCTGTGGCCCCTCTGCTCTCACACCTGTCCCGGTGCCTCGGGGCTTTTTCCCTGGACACATGGCACGCTGAAAGCAGGCTGCAGGGAAAGACCGGCTGCCTGGCTCCCTGGGCCGCTGGGAAGCAGATCCAGCATGTCCAGAGCTCCACTTCTGACTGGGGCCCTGTACCCAGGGGACCCCCTTCACCCACACCTCTTCTTGCTTCCTGCCCTTTCCCACTCACTTTCCCTCCCCTCCTGCTGTTTCCTGGCCTCGCCTCCCAAGTTAAATAGTAGCCTGGAAACCACATCTCATGGTCAGCTTCTGGGGAATCTAGCCAAGATAGTCATTATCACAGAAAAAAACGGAACCTATACTTATTACAATTTGAATATGTGTTGAACACATGTTAGAGAAATACATCCTGAGAAAAAGGTAATAATTTTGAACAAACCCTCTGAGTTTTTCTCAGTTTTTCTCCCCCTCCCCTCGGAGGGAGTGCTCCCTCCGGTGCGCCATAACTCAGCTGCCCCAGGATCATTCCCCTTAAACACTGGCAGCTGGTAGTACCGCCTCCTGGTGAAACCGAACCTGTTTCTGTTGCTCCTTCTGTCTCCATGATGCGTCGTTCCCAAGTCAGGTGATCCTGCCATTAAGCTGGTTTGAATGACTCTTGAGGACTCACAGGTCTCTCCTGGATCAAAAAAAGAACTAATACTGTATCCCTGAGACAAACAATCAGAAGAAGGAGAGAGAGTCTTTTACTAATGTAAAAATTACTGGTAGTGTTTCCCTTCTTTTTTCTTAAACTTCTGGTCCACATTCTAGAGCCAGCTGGCAAATGTTAGTGCCATACTTGCAGAAGCTGGCCGGAAATGAAAGCATTAAACACCAAATTGCTGTAGTAGCTGTTGAAGCAATTAAATACCATTGTATAGCTTGTGTTTTCAATTCTGCATCAGATTTCGTTTGACCTAGAGAGGAAAAAATAATTCTGAAGCATGTAATTCCTTTGGTTTCAGTCAGGAAACACTTGATGTCACAGTTCGCTATTCTATAGATTTTTTTTTTTTTTAACATAAAGAGCACCTAAAGGGTTTCCTGCTACATGCATATCAGCTCGTAATGGACCGTAATTAGTACAGATTCTAATCCTCAGACCAATTGTAATCTGCCACCTCTAGTGATCTTTTTTACCAAAGACCGTTGTTTGTTCTGTTAATTCACCGCTTAACAAAGCCCCTTGCGGGCAAATTCCTGTCTGTATTGTAGATACCACAGAGCCTTACACAGCAGGTGTTCAATACAGAAGGCCAGCTGCCTTATAATGACACTAACCATAACCTAAATAAGTGTTGAATTGAAAACTGAAAATATCATGACAATACATTATGATAAGTGGCAGAGTTGGAGAGAAAGTCTGTTTCAAAATATGCCTAATGCTCACTTAGAAGCAACAATGATAAGCCAAGTGTACTTGTAAATCTTGACAATATGTGAATTGTGGAGATGTTTTATCAAGTACCACCCAACTTTGTCATTCTTTGCTGGAATCCTTATGTTTAAGACCACAAAGATGATTTGAAGTCCTCCAAGGTTGTAACAGTCATGAGACTGTTTTAGCAATTCTTGAATTGGGCCTACTGGTTAAGGAGTCTTGCTACCCTGTACTCCTAGCAAATAAATGCCTTTGTGGGCGCTTGATCTATCTGTCTCCAGCTTCAAAGCTCTGTAGCACAAAGGACTCAAAGTAAATGTCTCTAGTTATATTGCAAAGCAGAGCCCTTGTATTTTTCTGCTTACCTTCTATTTGCATATTTTGTTAAGAAAACTGTAAATAAAGCTTGGTCTACACAAGGATATGGCGTAACTCCATGGCTGCCACCCAGCACAAAGACGCAGCTGTGTTTATTTCGGGCTCTCTCCTGGGTGTCTGTAGGTGGTCTGGAAGAGAACAGAGGAATTGCTGCGGGAAGTCAGTGACTGCTAGGGGGACGAGAGGTGTGCAGCCCTGCTAGGCCCTGCTGCTGCTGGGGATCTCCGACTAGGAATTTAGACCTCTTTATGCTCTAAGTGAAGGCCTTCACTGAATGTAAGGTTGCATTTTAATTTGTTTTAAGCAGCTAGGCAGTCGGAGGTGGTTGGGGGCTCTTTTTGCTTTGTTGTAGGTTTTTCTGTGTGTGTGTCTTCAGACTTTCCACTTGAAGGTCCTGTGTACTTTGCCTCTGTCAGTGGCCATGGAAAATGGTGCCATGTTCCCAGTTAATTCCACTGATGTGATCCTGCCCTGATGGCCTGGGGCTCGGATCCGCTGGCTGGCCGAGTGGCCCCTCTCCTCTACTGTGCAAGAATGTCACCATTTTGGTTCCACCAGGCAGGGAGAGGTGTTGCTAGCCTCTTGGCTTTCGTGTAGGATCCCAGTCCTCTGGATACTTCTTTGTGAAGGCTTCCCGCTTCTCAGGAGTTTCAGGAATGCCTCGCATGCACACATAGCCTGGCCTCAGATCTTATTCCTTTGATCTTCAGCTGAGTCTTCATTGCTCAGCTAACACCTTGTTTGCCAAAAAGTCAGTTAGAGACTTTAAACTCCCTGAAAGCAGTTTTCTCCTCCTGTCTTCGGTAGGTTTCACCTACATTGTGAACTAAGCTGTCCCCTCTTGGGTAGTGAACATGAACCGGGGGGCTTGTCTCGGCCGCCCCCGGCCCCCTCCCCCTGGGAGCTCTGCCCTCTGCAAGCAGCAGCTGCTGCTTTCAGGGCCCAATGTCTGCTGGCCCCCAGCAGGGTGGAGCTCCCTCTGCACTTTGCGTGGCACAGAGGGGCAAGTACACAAAAAATTAAAAGCCAAAGTAATGTCCAATCCACTCTTCAGACAACAGCCTGGACCTTTCTGACTGGACCCTTATAACAAAAGTGATAACATAAAGTGTAGGCGATTGATTTGAGTAAGAACTTATTTTTGTGCACTTCCCTGGTAGCTCAGCTGGTAAAGAATCTGCCTGTGATGCAGGAGACCCCAGTTCGATTACTGGATGGGGAAGATCCGCTGGAGAAGGGGAAGGCTACCCACTCCAGTATTCTGGCCTGGAGAATTCCATGGAATGTGTAGTAGATGGGGTCACAAAGAGTTGGACACGACTGAGCGACTTTCACTTTCACTTTATTTTTGTGCTCCTGGTGAAGTTTGAACAGTGACATACTAAAAATAAAGAAACAAATATCCATGGTCCCTGAAAAACCAGGAATTGACTATATTGCTATTGGTGTAAATGTAGATGTAGATAGTGGGCTTCCCTGGTGGGTCAGATGGTAAAGAATCCACCTGCAATGCAGGAGACCTGGGTTCAATCCCTAGGTTGGGAAGGGCTTCTGGAGAAGGGAATGGTAACCCACTCCAGTATTCTTGCCTGGAGAATCCCATGGACAGAGGAGCCTGGCGGGCTACAGTCCACGGGGTCGCAAAAGAGTCAGACACCACTGGGAAACTTAACACTTTCACTTTCATAGACAGATAGATAGATAGGGATATAGATTGATTATACTGAGAGTCCAAAAGCCCACATTCTGAGCCTGGCCTTATGTGAACCCTGATCAGAGACATTCTGTGACCCCTTGAGAGTTCTGGTCGTCTCATTTTTAAAATAAGGTGGTGGGTTGGAGTCACTGAAAAGTCCTTTAAGCTCTCAAATCTCATGAACCCTCTTCCCAACAAGCAGCTCTCCACAGTGAATTTTGGCTGAACTGCAGGCCTTCCTCTAGCAACTCCATCTGACCATACGTGTAGGACAGGATATGGCAGGTGTTAGTGGAGTTTCTCCAAATAACTCTATATGCCAGTGGTAGTGGGTCACATTAACTGTTCTTTGTGTTCAATTAAAGGAATTTTTTGTTCCTTAAATTTGCCACCTATGAGGCAGTCCATTTTAAAACAGAACTCCTAAGTTACCTTCTCTGAACTTGAAGCCAATCATTGATCCTGTTCTGTTTGCATGACTTTTGCCCCTCTGTCCTGAATCACATCCACCCCTCTGAGCTCCCCCCAACCTTGTGAACTGATTGCATTGCTTCTGTTCCCCTGGCTGGGTGCTGAGTTGGAATGCCAACAATAGGTTAGCTGTGAAGGAAAATAAGAGGAGAACAGTATAAGGTAGACATGTGAGGTGACTGTCAGCCTTGTGTTTTTATTGAATTCCTACCTTTCCATAAAGCAATTCCTTCTAAGCTTGGCCTCGTGTTTTTGGATCCCAGATGTACGTGGCAGTGTTGGTTCGTGCTGTTAGGCTTTACATACACGTATCATGTGCACCCATCCCGCTATCAGAGGCACTCCAACGTGCAGACACGCTGACAGATTTCCTCGTGTACATGTGCTGTCTTTCTAATATACAAGAGATTTTCAAACTGTAGATGTGTGAGGCTCCCTAACAAAATTTTGTTAGAGCATTTGTGAAGACTATGTCTCTAATGCTGTAATTATATTTTATCCTAGAAATTTACATGCTCTGTTTGCTGATTGTAGGTTGTGGAAGGAAACTTCAGGGACTGCTGGTAGTCCTTTTATACCATCTGAGCTTTGCGTATGTTTAAATGCCATTCTCACTGCTGTTAAGTGGCCTTCTGTTTGTAAGCATGTATTTGTCAAAACACATTTAGAAGGAGGTTTTCATTCTTTGGGAGAATAATTTTTGAACCAGAATTTATAAAACATATTTTCCTTGGTTACAGTGCTGGCTTGGTCTGAAGTGCTGCTTCTCTCTCGCTGTCTAACTGAAGAGCCACCAGCCATGGTGTGACAAGACACAATATGGGTTAATAGCTAGGAGGAAGTTAAACACCATCCAATTTAATAGTACTTTGCATAAACATGCTGCTAACTGTTGTTGCTATAGTTTAGTCACTAAATCATATCCGACTCTTTGCGACCCATGGACTGTAGCCCAACAGGTTCCTCTCTCCATAGGATTCCCCAGACAGGAATACTGGAATGGATTGCCATTTCCTTCTCTAAGGGATCTTCCCTGCCCAGGGATCAAACCCACATCTCCTGCATTGGCAGGCAGATTCTTTATCGATGAGCCACCTAGGAAGCCCAGCTAGTGACTGACTTTAAATTTGGCAGCAGTTTTTCTAGTAAATATAATTTCAGACCGGAAACTGTAATGTAAAGTGGAACATCATCCAAATAAAGGGTGCAGTGCATTGCTGTACGGCCCTGTCTGCCCCTCCCCCCGGGGGTTGGCATACTGTAAGAGAAATGGAGACAAATTCTTAAAGAACTGAGAATGTCTTCCTGAATGAGACCAGGCAGTGTCCTACATCAAACAGAGGGAAACTTTCTGAATTTTTAGTATATCTCCTATACTTACAGAATTTTCACATGGGTTTCCTTTCTTGGTTTACACACCACCACACTCTTTCCTTTAAGGATGTCTAATTTCCAGACTCACCAAATTGTATACATTAAATATGTGTGATTTTTGTGTTCAATTCTACTTCAATAGAGCTGGTAGTAATTTTTTTTTCAATTTTTTTAAATGTCTAAGATATCTATGTTTAACTGATGCCAGAGGCAGTTGAATTCTAGAAAGCACTTTCGAAAGTTTATTTTCTGCACAAAACTAATTGTCCCACCAGGAACTCAGAGACTCTATGTGAGCTCTTGGCAGCCATCCACACTCACTTCTCGGACCCACAAGTACTGACGCAGCGCCTCGCAGTCTGGTGCTGCTCGTCTCTCCTGCATGTCCTTTCTGGGTTTCTGTGAAGTAAGCTTATCTGCCATTAAAGACATTGTAATTATGATTTTTTGCAATATTTACTTTTCAAAAGTAGAATAAGAAAGGTCTATTTTGGGTTGGTGGGAGGTGAGGATGATAAATGAAAAATCCTGGTTTTCGTCTTTGTATTTTTTTTGTGTGCAGGTCCTGTTTCATAAATATTTACAATTCAGGCCAAAACAAATTGATTGCCTGAGAGAATCTTTTGGGGGAAGACATTTAACAAATAAGAAAATAGCAGCTAAACAGTGAAGAATCTGACTCTCCTGCTTGTTTTCCAAGCAGACGCTAACATACTAAAATCAGCAAATTTTGAGTAGAAACAAGTAAAGGACGGGGTATTGGTGAGGTTTGAGTTGATAGTTATGTAAGCCATGTTAGGGGTGGAAATAGCCCTGATAAACTTGCTGCTTTCAAAGCAAGTGACCTATACACAATTAACCTTTGAATTTTTCAATGTAACCTTATTTGTGTAGGAAGCAGTATATATATCCACAGTATATGCACACACATTAACATTGTTGTGATCTCTATGGAGACATAGAAATATAGGCCATTGGTAAGCTTCATATGAGAATACATTTGCAATATACATTATTACCACTATTTTTGGAAAAGGACAATAACAAATCATTCAAACGTGCTTTGAAATTATATGCCCATCCTGATTAGGAATCTAATAACTGGATGTTAAACAGTTTTAAATTACTATAAGTGTTATATATTTCACAACATTTTATGAACCTAAATAATTTAGAACACTGGCCTTGCTTGTAAAATATAGGTTGCAGGTAACTCTTTTGTGGAATCAAAGCTATCTCCTTTACCCAGTGAGATTTCATGTTGTCTTAGCATATAAACAGCAACAGCAAATTAACTTTTATAACCTTTAGGAACCTTACAATTTTTAAAGTGGAAATTAAAATAGTTCTTTTCATAGAAGCATTTTAATGAACTGCACTTCTAGGAAGACTAAGCAAGCAGCTGATTTAAAAATGAAAAAATTAAAAATAAAACATTTTAGTAACTCTGGCATATGAATTTAGGCTGACTTAGCTTTTTAACATACCTGTAATATTTATAATAAAATTAATATTGCTAATAATATTAACAATTAATTATAGTCACCAACTGCTGAGAAACAGACCAAACCTTCCTTCACGTACATCATCTGTGGGAGTCTGGGGTGTAAACCTCTCCGTCTGGTGTTGAGTTCTTTTCAGGCCCCTGTAAACATAATCGCAGGGAGCTCCTCAAGGCCAGTCCGGGGGTGCCAGCCTGGAGGGCAGGGGTGGTGGCCCTGAACCTGCCAGTGACGGGAGCAGCAGGTGTCAGCTTCTTACCCCTTTTGCATAAACAATTCATCTTAGATTCACAGTGGTTGATTATATCCTGTGGCTTTTGATCTTCTGAAAATCACACTTTCATAGTGAGGAGAAAACTTGTTAGGAAACCAGAAAAGGCAGCAGCAGCAGGCAGGCAGATGAGGACCCTCAGCTGACGAGTGAGGATGGGGGATAGGACGGAGTGGGAATGGGGGGTCTACATATGGGGCCCTCCCTTCCTGCGCACCCCTCCTTCCATTTCTATTTCTCAACAGAGCAAACGCTTCTGAGAAAATTAAGAGTCTCACGTTGACTGCAGGGGCTTTGGCTTTCACCTTCTTTAGGCCACCTTGTTTATGCACACATACACACGCGTGCATGCACATGTACACATGCACACCCACATGTGTGTGCACACACCTACACATGCATGTATGCACATGCATGAGTACACCTACACATATGTGCACACCTGCATATGTACACAGCCACACATATATATGTACACATGGACACACACCCATATCCAGACACACACCCACAGAATGAAAAGCCCAGTTGGGAGGTATCAGCAGCTGAGAAGACTACAGGACAGTGGGGGGCAGCCCCGGGAGGCCCAATCCCGCGGGTGCCGGCCTGAGGCCTGGGGCGCCATGGGGACTGCAGGCGTTGGATGTTCAGATTCCACTGTCTTAGCCCGGTTCAACCCACCTACCTCATCCTGTCTCATCAATCACAGTTCAAATATTTATTTTCCTTGCATCTCTTTCATCTTTTCTGTGAATTGAGGCCTTTGGCAGAATTCTGTGTGTGAGAAGGCTGACAGCAGTGTTCTAATTTTTAAAACATTCTCCGATTGACACCCTTCTCTTTTGTGGCCGACCTCCTCATCACAGGAAGGCTGTAAACCATGCTTTGCTTTCAACAGCTCTTGAGAGCGTCGGAGGCCGTGTAACCGGAGAACCATGTTTGGGAGGGTCTGGGCTTCGTCTCTTCATCTTGAAATGAGTGGACAGTCCATGCTGGCAGAGCCTTGGCCTGGAAGTCTGTTGGGTGCCTTGTTCTCTTAGCTATGCACTGCATTTTGCCTCTCTTACAGAAAAGCGTTCAGAAGAACCAGCTTATTTTCTCAAGAAAAAGAAATCAGGACCAACCTGGTTTATTTTGCCTTATGCTTTGGATAAACTAATCAAAATCAGGTGAATTGTCAGTTGTATACAGTTGGATGTCAGACGCAGAAAACGACACACAGATCCAACGGTCCCATTCTCCAACAGTGTGCCTGCACCTCATGTGCTGTCCAAGTTGTTACATTCCAAGAGGGAGCACAGACGAGATGTTCATACTCAGGCTTTCAGTTTTCTCTTCTGTGTGACCCTCTTGGCCGCCTGTGCCCCCACAGCCCACACTGCAGGTAACAGCCACCCTGTCATAGAAACCCTCAGCCCAGGCTGGGAGTTTTATCAGGAGTAGTTTAGACATTTTCAGAATTAATGTCTGCTGGGCTGTTCCTAAATTCGGCTGTGAACTGTGTCAGCGCACAGGTTGTAAAGTACACTCAGCGTTGCACAGCCCGGCCTCAGGGAGCGGCAGCAGCTCTCTGCCAGACACAGGGCAGGGCTGGTCATAAGTAGGGGTTTGGTTCTCATTTTTCCTGTGAAGTCCACTTCGTTTTAAAAATATTTTGCCATTTCACATCTAGGGAAGAAATCATCGGCCATGCTAAAATTTATTGTTAACTCCAGCAAAGTGGAAACAATAGTGGGAAATGTTAGAAACACATAATTTAGCTTTGAGATTTTGCACAAGCAGCGAGACGTTACCTTCCCCTTGTGTCTGTTCTGACTTAACGGCCGAAGGCGAGCCTCCTGATGGGCTGCATCTGATGGCATTCATTTCCTGTAAGGTCTGATTTAACCCAGCAAGACCGACATGAGAAGAGACCACTACTGGGAAAAATGGTATGGCGTGGATAACGTGGTTTCTTTTTAACATTTTATTAAAACAAGTGGAATGAAAAGAAAAAATCCTAAAAATTTATCTGAATTTACCAAGTTAGTGAAGTTCTGCCAGCCTGTTTCCTACGCCATCCAGAAGGTCAAAAGAGCTGCACTGGATTAAACATTTGGCACGGCCATCCAGGGTCAAGTGTCTTCTTTATTTAAACTGTAATATTTTCCTATTTTTCATGCTTGGTTTCGTTACTATGTCTGTATTTTTAATAAACATAGACTTACTTTCCTTTAATACCTTTTCTTAAAGCACATACTTTAATGTGCTTTTTAAACAAGCAAGCCTCAGAGAATTATTGTGAACCTCAATTACATATGTTGAAAAATACTTTTGTAGTTTATGAAGAGCTGTGTAAACATGAAGTGTTACCGTTATTATGGGCACAGCATTTCTTATGGAGTGACTTTCAAATACATAATCAGTAGCACATGAAAAACCATAATTATGTTATTCAGCTCACATCTGTATATTCAAAATCAGTACTTCAGCAATATTTGCATAGTCCAAGCAGACATTTTTCCTCTTTTAGCACCTTTAATTTTAAGACAAAATATATATGGAAAAGGAATTCCATTTAAGAATTATAGTCAAGTTTTAATAAGTTTGATCACCTGAGCAGCCAGACACCTTTATGTATTTATTTTTATGTGAAGATATGTGCCATTGTCATTGATTATTTTTGACAGTTTAGCACTATTTTTCAAATTTTTTAAAAAGTAACTCAGAATAGCAATTTATTTATTTATTTATTGAAAAGTAACTCAGAATACCAATTTAATATTATTGATTGTTTGATTAAAATGAACAGATGGAATTTTTTATTTCCCAAATCAGTTGCCCAAACTATTTAGCACAGCTATATTTGAAGATTTTACTTTCAGATCACAGCCTTGGCAGTTTTGCTCCATGGAATGGTCTTATTAATGTCCTGTTTGAGGTGAATTGACGTGTGGTTAGTGTGCCCATCAATTACACCAGTGACAGAAATATGTACAGACCATGGGAAGGCAGCTCTCCTGACTAAGAAAGTGGCCTCGACCAGCCCTGCATAAGACACAAAACTGAAAATTTTTTTGCCCTCAACTGGCATACTTTCAGGGAGTCAAATTAAAGTACTTGTCTTTGGTAACTAATTTACTTAACATGTGCATTTGTTTTCAACTATTCTAAATTATGATTTTAAAATATTTCATGCAAAATGCATCAGATGTTAAGAATTCACTCTCTCTGTATGCACTCATTTTGGAAATGAAAGACACACACATTCAGGATGAAATGGAAAGTCAGTTTTAAGGTGTAAATTCTCTAAGCCATGTGTATAATTCAATTTTTGCCAAAATTGTGTTTTTATACAACTTCATTGAAGTAGATTCCCCTTTGAATATTAGGCAATACAAAATTTACAGCAGTGGTAGATTATTAGAACAACATGGGATAACATCTTGATAAAATTAAAAATTCCACTGTTAGACTTCGTATTCCTAAAGAGAAATGCCCATGCCAGCCAGGCTATGATCTTTAAGAAACTCCAGTGCTGCCATGAAGCCTTCTTACATGCACGAGTCTGACAGAGGAATTGAGCCAAAGCATCTTATGAAGATTCAGACATGGACAGTCAATTGTTGAATTTTACCAAAGAGTTCTGAATTTTACCTCCTAA